AGAGAGAGAGAGAGAGAGAGAGAGAGAGAGAGAGAGAGAGAGAGAGAGAGAGAGTAATGTTATTTATTTTAATAAAAAATGAATTGGAAGAAATTTGTTTTGATTCTGTGTAGGACTTAGCTTCTTGAAACTTTCTGAAAAATTTGTTATTAAGGACAAGTGACTACAGTAACAGTTGCCTGTTTTATTGTTAAAAGATATAAAGTCTCCCCTGTGTCTAAAGAAATAAGAATAAAGTAATATGAAAATTAGAATATGGCCCATCAACAAGGACATTTGTCTGTTCCTTAAAGGTTTCTGTGATATTGTGACGTGAATGGCAGCAACTCAGTAGAGCCAATTTCTCCTAATTGGGAAGGTTCTGAGCATAAAAAAAGTTGGTAAAATTTGTGGTTTGGACAAGTTAAAAAAGAAAGCAATTCTAGAGACATGCCTTAAATACATAGTTGAAAGTGCTTGGTGATAGATAAACATAAAATAAAACATGACACAAAAATGAAAATATTATAACAAGACAAAAACGTATTTTTCAACTTGCTTTGACTGTTATGAGCAATGATTAAATAGTTTCCTTATCAGCTGCATTTCATAACTCTTTTTATAAAAGGAACTTCTTTTTGTGGATAGAAACAATGAAGTGGCATATTCAAAATCCTCACATTATTTCTAGCAAAGGAAAGTCCCTCAACATTTACATTTTATCAACATCTTGTCAAGTTTGGTTCACACAAACATGTCAATTGGGGGGAATTTGGTTGACTTGATTCTCCCCTACAGAAAAGGCTTTAGATGCAGTATGCATTTTAAAATCATGTACATTCCTCCAAATCCTTTTCAGTATATTTTTGTTTTTGACTCAAAAAACACTGCAATGCTTCTGTTGCAGGTGGGTTCTCTAAGTGCTTCTTTCTTTGCAAGAAGGGGATTCCAAGTAGAAATGTATGAAGCAAGATCAGGTATGATCTGTTACTTGATAATACATTAACATTTTAGATGATAACCCTACTTATATGGATGTTCGCAAATCTCACTGGAATGTTGTTTTTGAAATTTCTCATTTTTCGGAAGTGAGATTTTATATTATTAAATCACTAAGAGACTTTGATAATTAACATTATTTACAATAATATTTTAAAGTGATGGTTTAGATTTTTCAGATCAAACACAGTTATCCTTATATTTGCAAGTTGGAGCAATAGGACCTGCTTCTAAACTTCACATCAGCAAATTTATACCCAAATGCATTGATCAAAATTACACAATCAGTAAAAAATTGTAGAATCTTTCTATTATCCCAAGTGTGATTTTAAAAACAGAAGAAAAATCTGTATGTTCAATCATGTTGCCTATGAATACAGAATTGAGGATGGAGAAGTAGAGTGACAAGTATTACACTGTGAAAAAATACAGCATTGTTTGAGTCCAAGAATAAAGAAATGGTGTGGTCCAAAGCCAAAGTATATGCTTGGTATGTTAATAAACTCAAAATTGAGAAGATAAAATCATATAAATATTCAGTTGTCTTGCTAGAATCAGGGTCTTCAAGAGCCTAGATGGGAAGGTTTTTGTCAGGTTTTTCTTTTCAAAAAGGGGGAATTCTATCCTTTTAGTTCTCCAAGCCCTCCAAGCAATTCAAACAATATAATATTTCTGAGATCAGTTTTCAGAGTGTTATCCTAGGTGCCCAATTCAGCCCTCAACTTAGAAGACTGTTAAGCAGTAAGAATTTAGCTCATTAAAACCAATTATTGGCTGAAATTTAGTGTCAGACCCCAAAACTCCTCGCCTATTCTCTTTTGCCTTCTATTCTTTTGGGGCCTGCCATTCTGTTGGGGGAGGGGGGTGCATGGGGAAATATGTTGGTAACTTTCGCTTTCCTCTTTCTTTGTCTGGCTTCCTGCTTTTGAGTATGGAATGCATCTCCTTATCTAGGAGACAGTTGAAAGGAAACGAAAGCTGGAGAAGACCTTGAGATGCGCGCCTACCATACCAGTCAGACGGCCATCAAGCCACCTGTGGATTGGCTGGAGTTCAAACGGACATTATGACTTTGATGGGAGGGGGCATATTGCTTGCTTTAATTATATCATTCACACGGGCTTTTCTTCAGATCTCACCTTACACTCCCAGCTATCACTAGTCCCTAATAAAAGTTCCTTTTGAGATAATGCCTGCTTCAAAAGTTCTGCTTTCTTGGGTGATTAGTTGAAGTGGGTCCACAACCTGGAGTGTGTGTGTGGCTGCATTTATGCTTGCTGACTGTTTTGATCAAGCAGGATAAAAATGCTAGCTTCATTCCTTACATTGCTGGTGATTCAATACTGTTTTTTAAAAAACCAATTCTACTCAGATAACAAAACAAAAGTGCTGAGGCTGGGAGGGGGCAGAAGGAAAGACATAGAGGCAGACCCTTCTGCAATTCTGTGACCAGATGTTTTCCTCTGGCTGGTGTCAGGCACAAGAAGGAGGTCAGCAAATCCTATGGAATCAATAGTGTGTGTGTATGTGGGCGGGGGAGATTGAATCTCTGTGTTTGAAAAGCAATCCATTGTCCATCAACATTCAAAAAGGGAGGGCAAGAGAGTCAGAATGATGTAAACAACATTGCAATGAAACCCCTCAACTCCCCATTGTGTAAAGCCATTCCCCCGAAGGGCAGAAAAATTGCCCTGGGGTTGTTTTCATTATACATGTTTTCAGTCATACAGACTGATACTCCCGCCACAAAAAGGATGCCCATCATGAGGTACAATAGAGAGTTACCCTAAGGTAAGATGGGTAGCCAATACATTTTATAAATAAATAAATTATAAATAAACATGCCATTCATACTCTTCTGCTATCCTTAATGGGAAAAATTGCATAATTCTACCCTGGCACAAGTCAATATTTGGAAAGTGAGTAAAAGGAATTATGAACATTTTTCATACTAGTAATTATAATACCTGAAGGTACATAATAAATGGTTCATTTCTTTTCAGATATCCGTAGTTCAAGTGTAACTCGTGGCAGGAGCATTAACTTGGCCTTGTCTCACAGGGGACGGGAAGCTCTCAAGGCAGTTGGAGTGGAAGATCAGGTGACCTTAAAGATAAAGATCTAACATTCTCTGTGGCTGGTGGATTATAGGAGGACTATTTATTTGTTTATTTATAATAACATTTCTAGGGCAGAGTATGAAGGATTTTGTCCACTATAACGTAAACATTTACAAATAATATATACTTATATATTTTAATAAACCCAGTCATTTATTGTAATGCCCCTATCTCTGTATCTCATGTTGAAAAGCAGGCTGATGTCATTTTCCAGAAGCTGGATTACTCACCAGGCAGAGTGTAGGCACAGTGTGGGTACAGCATACAAGGTTTTCAGAGGCGCTGGGGTTGAGCACACACCAAAAGGGGGCTTGGATCAGAGGTGCACACCAAGAGCAGGGCAGGATGAGAAGTGTGTGCAGGTAGATTCAAGGAAACAGAAGAGGAATTATGAAAAGGAAAGGTGGAAGTAAGAGCTTTAGGTGATGGGATTGATCTGTGCCAGATGAGAAAGGGACTGTCAGCCACACTAGATAGAACAGACAAAAAAAACCCAACTCCACTGGTAGCCTACAACTACTTTTACAATTTTGAGATTAGCTATGATAATAGAATCTTGCAAGTCACATTTTGCTACACTGTACCTCTTCATATTTCAGTAACTTGGGGAGGTTTTTTTCTAAGATACTTCCAAGCATTATCAGGACATTCTGGACTTAAAAGATCTTTTATCCCTTGTTGCCTTGGCAACAGAGCTTGCATATCCCCATCAAAGTCATCTTCCATACTCTCTACAGAACTATACATCACACTGTTAGCTATTGTGTTTGACTTTGCAGGAATTAAATCATTGACTTTTCAGGGATGGTCTTGCTTGATGAAAGTCCACAACCCATTGGGGGTTCACATTATTCCTTGGCTGCCAGTAATTTTTAGTGGAATATGTTATGAATGGTGTACAGTTTAGATAATGATATGTAATGGACAGGTAGAGATCCATGTTCCAGAACCTGCTAATGAAATAGACCATATAATAAAGATACAGGTAATACAAGTAGGCAAGCTATACATCTGAAAAGATGATGGAGAAACAGATTGGCAATCCCCTTGGTAGTTGAGAGCCTTGAAAGGGATGAAGTGCCCCATTTTAGTGAAATGATCCACCACCATCAGTATGGTGGCAAATCCTCGGGAGTGGTAATAAAGTCCATGGAAGGGATCTTCCAGGGGCCTGAGGACACTGATAGTTTGAAAGAGGCCAATAGTTTTGAACAAGATATAGTTAGCCTGATGACAGACTGGACAATGTGAAGGTGTCTTTGATAGCAAGCAGTTCTTTCTCTCAGATGGTATAGTTGACTTCAGCCAGGATCAGCTTCTTTGAATGAAAGTTATAGTGCAAGGCTGGTAGATTGGTGTTGTGGGATTCAGGAAGACTGCTATAATAGTCATACTGGAGACACTGGCCTCAACCATGAAGAGGTAGGCTGGTGTAGAAGGAGGAATGACACAAACATCGCCTTTAGGCAATGGAAATTCCACTGCACTTCATGACCCCCTAGGAAAGGCTCTTAGAGTAGTTTAGAGATGGGAGCAGCAAGGTGTGAGAAGGCAAGATAGGTGGTAGATGTTTGTGAACTCCCGAAACCACTACACATCTCTTTTTCTTTCCTTGGGGACTTCCAGTCTTGGATTACTTGAACCTTTCTGAGATGCTCCAGGATGACTTGACATATGTGGAAAGCTCCTGTGGTGCTTGAAGAGGCATCTGTGCTGGTAGAGAAGGCGCTTGGCAACATCCACATCCAGGGAAGCAGAGAATTCTCAGCATCCTTTACAGCCCAATGCTCCATGAGCTATGGCAGTTGCAAAACATGGAATAAATGGAAGGAAGAACTGAAATGCTGGAAGAAAGTATTAACTTTTGACTATAAGAATAGATTAATTTAAGAGGGAATTATTCCATCTCCCTTTTGGATGTTTTAATTATCAGGCAGGAGAAAACTACAAACGTATATACAATATGCAACAGAAAATTAACAGGGGTAGAATATGGCCAGTGATCATTTTGAGGGCAGTCTTGAATTGTTAAATTTTAGATAGAAAGATTATTTATTAATTAATCAATTATTAAATTTATTTGCTGCCCATCTCATGTGCAATGACTCTGGATTATCAATAATAACAAGGATAGGAAGATACGTTGCAAGTCAGTACAGATAGAACATATAGAACACAGAATAATAGGGTTTGAAGAGATCTTGGAGGTCTTCTAGTCAAGTCCCCTACTAGACCCTATACCAGGGGTAGGCAACCTTGGCTCTTTTATGACTCATGGACTTCACCTCCCAGAATTCCTGAGCCAGCCAAGCTGGCTCAGGAATTCTGGGAGTTGAAGTCCACGAGTCATAAAAGAGCCAAGGTTGCCTACCCCTGCCCTATACCTTTCTATACAAATAGCTGTCCAGTCTCTTCTTGAAAACCTCCAGTGATGGAGCATCCATAACTTCTGAAGGCAAGTCATTCCACAGGTTAATAGTTCTCACTTTCAGGAAATTTCTCCTTAGTTCTGGGCTGGATCTCTCTTTAATGATCTTCCACCCAACACTTCATTTTCTGCCCTCAGATGCTTTGGAGGATAGGCTGATTCCTTCTTCTCTGTGACAGCTGAGTTACAAACCTACTTAGGCAAGTGGGCACATTTGAGTTTGAGAGTATGATACAGTCTCTGATAAGGAGCAATGTTTGCTTTTCATAAAAGGGCTGCCAAAACATTTCAAGATTCTAAAAAGTAATCCACTATAGCTAAAACTAATTTGCTTCCAAACCAAACAATATTCAGAGACCACTGTTTTTAACTTTGTTTGGCTGGTCATGTTGCTCCTCCCCCCAATATAAGAAGAAATTGCATGCAGCATTAAAACAATTTCAATATTTAAAAAATTCTCTTTTTTTACATTTCAGATTGTGTCTAAAGGCATCCCCATGAAGGGAAGGAGAATTCACACTCACTCAGGGAAAATGTATACAATTTTTTATGGAACAAAAAGCCAGGTATGTTAAATCAGTCAAAACACGTTAACTTTTGTGTTTTATTTTTGCATACTTGTATATGATGTGACTAATGAAAAGCCGGCTACTATTATGAACAGAGGCACTACTGTCTATTTCCTGTAAGTAAGAGGACACAAATGGCCTCTTCCAACATTGTACCGATCTTTAGCAATGCTCTCAGTGAAAAATGGGATCAGCAGGAATGCATGGCACACAGTAGATTTCCCTTTTGTTATATTGCTTTGTCTAGAAGAGGATAGAAAGATACACCTATGGACTAGTTATCCTAATCTAGCCTATAACAATCATCCTTGCTCTTATATATGTATTCTTGTTCTCTCTCTCTCCCTTTTTCTCAAATGTGATAGCATATTGGAAGAATGGAATGAAATTTGGAGGACTGACATATATATTCAAATAATGCAGACATTGATGAATAAATGTTACTGGATTAGAAATGAAAATCAAAATGTTGTCTCCATAGATGAGGCTCAAATTCAATGCAATTCATACAAATAGTCTATACTGTACAGTAAGGTCAGGTAAACTCTGCTAGAAATTCAACAGCAATTCTAAAATATTGCAACCTTGATTTGGTAGCCTTCAAAATGGGCTCTCCCAGTTCTTCTCTATTTTTAAGAAACAGAGTGATATAGGCTACCTTACCACTTAAATTGTGTTTTGGATAGCTATTTTGATTCCACCCCTTTTCAGTCTCTGTGCCATCTTCTTCAAACAAAGATATTAGCTACTTTAACTTCCTCTTCTTCTGTAACTGTACATAATTTTCTATCTGATGACTGATGTACTTTCCTTTGTACCTCACTTTCTAGAGAAATTATTTCCTGAATATGTTCCTTCTGTGCTAACACTTCTGTCATTTTGCAATCTCGTTTGTAAAGAGGTTCAGTTTAATCTTCATCTGCTTCTATCAAATTAGTCAAAGCATTCCTATCTTAGTGGCAACTATATAATTTATATGCCACCCTGTCTCACTGTCCAAGATGATTCTGGGTGGCTTACAATATTACATAATACAATATTATGTAATACAATACATTATGATGTATCTGACCGTAAAAACATCTCTTTCTTAAGTTTTTTTTTTACTTCTATTTGTTGGAATTCCTGATTGAGATACCCTACCTTGCTGTTTCTTGCTTGTCGTTTGTTGGTTCTTTTTGATACCCAAATCTATCGTCCTTTGTTGTCTGTAATGAAAGTTTGTTTTGAAAGAGAGAAGCAACCTAGAACTAAGGAGAAACTTCCTGACGGTTAGAACAATTAACCAGTGGAACAACCTGCCTCCAGAAGCGGTGAATGCGCCAACACTGGAAGTTTTTAAGAAGAAACTGGACAGCCATTTGTCCGAAATGGTATAGAGTTTCCTGCCTGAGCAGGGGGTTGGACTAGATGACCTCCAAGGTCCCTTCCAACTTTATCATCATCATCATCATCATCATCATCATCATCATCATCATCATCATCATCATCATTATTATTATTATTATTATTATTATTATTATTATTATTATTATTATTATTAAGCCGTTTGGATATTTTCTTCTTTGAAATTTTGGAATTTTTTCCCCCATTTTTGCTTTCAGAGTATCTTTTTTTTCATCCCCTACTTCATCAGGTTCTGTTTCACATGAATTAAGCATGTCAATTATATTCCTTTCTTGCTGGCACATTTACTCTCTTCAATTTAATCCTTATATTTGACAGTGGAAATTCATTATCTGTTTGACAGTCTGTACCTGGAAATACCTGGCTGGGTGGCATACACTTCTCTGTTTTCTGTGTCCCATGACATAGGTTTGCATCTGATAATCCCTGTGTGTAGAGTCTGTGTTTATATTGTAAGGATGCGAGACCATCGCATCCCTAAACAGCTCTTCTATGGTGAGCTGTCTCAAGGAAAGAGATCGCACGGGGGACAAAATAAGCGATACAAAGACACGCTGAAAGCATCTCTCAAGTCCCTAGATATCGACACCATCTCTTGGGAATGTTTGGCGCATGATCGAGCGACATGGCGCACCCTGGTTTACCAGGGTTGCCAGACATATGAACACAGAAGGACAATCTTGGCACAAGAGAAGCGAGCACTCCGTAAAGCCAGAGCTGCAAATGCTGAAGCAATAGTGTCCACATTTCTCTGTTCAGTATGTGGCAGAACATTCCGTGCTAACATTGGTCTTATCAGCCATCTACGGACACACCGTTGATGGCCCATAATCCATAAGATGTCAAGGTCTTCATCGAAATCGATGGATGAACAACACTCTATCTTACAAACAAGATTGACTCTGGAAATCATATTCCCATCAGCACTGTTCTCAGAGTTCTAGAAAATATGGGGTCCTCCAGCAGATCAAAATGATAATTATTTGGTATGGACTTTATTAACCATGGTCACTGATCATGAAAAAGAATCTAAGATTTGTATTGCTAAAGTATTGGAAAAAGTGTGCAAGGATATATTCAAATATAGTTAAACATATAAAACATTCTCTGCCTTATTTTGTTTTGTTTGTTTTTTAACAGTATATTCTCTCTATAGATAGAGCAAATTTGAATAAGGAGTTATTAACTGGTAAGTGTGGCTTAATCAGTTTTGATCCTTTCTCAATTTATCACATTTAAAATTACGTTGTGTTTGAGGTAGAAACATTACTCAGATAGAGGCAAGATATAAGAAGGATGTGCTATTTACTGTTTAAAATGAGTGTCTTCTGAGTCTCCTTTTGCTTGAGCAAAGACCACAAGCAGTCTATGCATGCTGTAGAAAGAGAAGGGAAAATCAGCACCTCAGCAAAGTCCTCTGAAGACACTAACTCTCAAAACCCATTAGCCCTCTGCTGCTTGTCAACCACCAGATTGTTAGGTTTAAATACTCTTTCAAAGTAACACACCTCCACAAGCTCAGGCAAGCTGAACATTTCAGTAACTACAAGACAGAGAGTTTATTTAGTCATTTTGCTTTAAATGCCCAGCACACTGGAATTTAGAACACAAACATTTGGTGGTAAGCCAAAAAAAGAGACTGCAGAAAAACAATAATGAGAGTAGCAAAAGTTACATTGGTAGAGGTTACTAACCCATCCCCCATCCAAGAATAGGAGAACAGCACTTTCACCATGCATAATAGAAAGTTGCTCAGAATTGGTAGAGTCCTGGCGGCTTACAGTGGGCAAGTAATGAGTATGTTGGAGTGGGCCAGAGTGACCTGTTTTTCACCATATGATAGGTCTCTGTGGTGCAAAATAAACATTTAGAATTATTGAAAAGATGAAGGCAGGAAGTTAGGAAGTGGATGCATATACATCACCTCAAGAGCGAGAAGTCAAATCTTGTGTTGGCGCATGTGTGTCAAGCCAAATTACCCACATCTAACTATAGAGATCTTAGTGAATGGACTGGGTGGGAAAAAGTGACATGATTAAAAATGTGTTACATTCTATAAATGTATTTATTACAGAAATATTTTTGCAAACAGTTATTCAGATGTCTACCTCTAAGAAAATAAATGTCTAAATGTTTAGATTCCATGTTGTTTCTTTTTCCTCTATTTACAGCTGCTGAGAAGTATCCCAATGTTAAATTAAACTTTGAGCACAAACTGCTTCACTGCAATGTAGACTCAGGGCTACTGACCTTTTCAGGGTAATCAAATGGCTCCAATTTTCCTAGCACACTTTAATCATTAATCAGTACCCAAACAATAGGCCACACTGACTCTTTCCAACTGTTGTGGGGGCCTGTATTTGTGTGAATTGAAAAATTGTTAGGTTTCCCACCCCCAAGTTAGCAAAGATTAACAATTTAACCAAACATGACAAAATGTTTAATCAACAACCAGAGGACTGCACTTCATAAATTCCTGACAATATAACCTCTTGGACTCTGCTGACTTCAGGATATATTTGTTAATGAGCAAGCAATGATTTATATTTTCACAAGATAACAAATTTTTTAAATGAATAAAATCTAATGTAAAGCGCCAATTTTATGCATTCACTCAGTCTCCTCTTCATCCTCTTCTTCTTCTCCTAATAAAGATATAAGATGAAATGTATGGAAACATATTGGAATGACCATTTGAAAAAATCATCTCACACAAAACTTATTATGAATAATATTGGAGTATAGGACTGACAAATTATACCTGATTTTTAAAACCCGATTTTATTGTCAATAACATCTAATGACATGTAGTTGTTACATTAAAATATAAATTTAAAAAATCATTTTAGGATAACTATTGGATGTCAAAATTCCTGTTTCAGAAATAGCTTCCCTTACTTCCTTTTCCCCAAATCTGAAGGAGTCAAGTAGGGGGAAAAAAGTATGTTCTTTAAACTTAGTGCTTCAAGAGAGATCTAAGCTAATAGAAGTCACAATCAATCACTACTCAATATACTGCAATATTTATTTATACCTTATAAATACCTGAACACACATACTAATGGTACTTTTTGTGTTTTCTTACAGATCAGACCAAATGACTAAAGAGGTCACCTGTGACTTAATTGTGGGCTGTGATGGAGCTTTTTCCACAGTTAGGAAGCAATTTATGAGACAAACACGGTTTGATTACAGTCAAGTGTATATTCCACATGGATACCTGGAACTGAAAATTCCTCCAAAAAATGGAGATGTAGGTAGTGAAAATTCACGGTGAACTTGTTTCTCCTGTTTCCAGTTCATAAGGTACACTGGCATTGACAGATATCTTTCTATTACTTTTTTTGGTCTTTCAGTTTGCAATGGAGGCAAACTATCTTCACATTTGGCCTAGGAACACATTCATGATGATTGCACTGCCAAACCTGGTAAGAGACCTAATGCATCTTTCATCTCTGATATTCTGGAATCTGGGTTTGATCTGGACAATCAGTTCCAGCCAATGCTGGCTTCCTGGAAGCACACAGTCTTAGGGATTGCATGCCTGGAACTGCATGTCTACATTTTTCCTGATACAATTTCCATTCCTACACTCCAGTCATGGTTCATTAGTTCATTCCCATTCATATATCCTCTCTTATTGCTACTGGCAGGTAATTTCTGACTCCTCCAACTACTGAACTGCCTGAGTGGATTCACTCATTCATAACTGTTCTCTCTTATACTAGAGCATTCCCAGCCCAGTTCATTACAGCCTGAAGGGTGATTTTAGGAGGAGTCACAAAGTGGAGGGAAGGAAGCACCACCTGCACACTGCACTAAGATGTTAAATTAATTTCAATCATCAGAATTGCTATTTTAAAAGCTTGGTTAGTGTGTAAGAGTTCAGAAGTTTCTATTTTCTCTGTGATGCAGTATAGCATATTCTAGAAAAGAACAGAGTTCAAATGGTCATTTTTGGGGGTGAAGGAAGAGTGTAACAGATGGAGTTAAATATCAGCTATTACCTATTGTGTCCCCTTCTTTCTTCCAAAAGATAGCCTTATCAAATAAAAAATGCAGTAATTGCAAAACCTATCTCATGACAGCCAAAACCAACTTTTCTATTTCATTTCTTAAAATAGATTGAAAAAGAGCTTTTGCTGTTCCACCCAGGTTGGACAGGCGTGATTCAGTAATGAAACTGTTCTAAGGATTTATTTTCTTTCCCAACTTTAAGCGTTTTCCTGCTGAATTCTACAATATATCACTAGAGGGCTGCCTGCAAAATCAATCAAACAAACATGAGTCACCCTTCAGTAATTCAGAATCATAGAGTAGAAGTGTGTGGTTCAGAGCTTAGAAAAGATCAGCTCTCTCTTTGTTCACCCTTATCTTTTCTGGCTTTAGTTTCAACCGATAGGATTAAGGATTATTTCATTGCTTAACTTGTTTTTCTTCACAGATTTGATAGACTAGATTGACATAGCCCATCCTTTCTCTCTGCCTGTGGGCAGATGACATCAATATATTCTGTACACACCTAGTTTCTAACAGACAGTTTTGGGGTGGGTTTTTAAAAATGTGGAATAAAAGAAAATGACTAGATTGACATTGCTGATGGTTGCTGTCCAAACATGGGCAAGCAATAAATAAATATTTCATTTTTGAATGCCTGTTTCATTTTCAAACTACTAAATCCTTGGAATGTGATTAATATCTCATTCATCTTAATGATCTCCAAGTTCACCAAGATGACAGATAAAAATTTGTGGGTATCTCCACACTTGCATCTTAGATCTCCCCACAAGCATCTAATAACATGCCTGGGCAACAGCATTTTCTTATGTCCCAAGAGTTTGTCTTCAGCTCTTTGCCAATCCATAGTAAATCAGGCTTAATTCATCCTTAGCTACGTATACTGTTGTTGCAGTAGCCCAAAGCAGCATTTATTTGACATCATCCAGGAACACCCTCAAGATAAAGAAAACTGTAGACTTTGTCAGCCAGGAAGGTTGGCTGACTAGCAATGAACAGAGCCAATAAAATATAAGCATTTGGCAATGGAGATATATTGCTATAGTTTCCTACCTTTTGAAGAAGGTGGATAGCATTTCAATCAAGCAATAGGGGAAGCCCCTAAAGTAAGTGCAGTACCTCTGAAAAGGGGTGGGACCCTCTTTTTTTACTGAAAGCCTCAAGAAATAACATAGAAAATTATAGAATTTAGATATATATAAATATATGTGTATATGTATTGTGTATGTGTATTCAAATAAGTGAACTTAACAAAACTGAATCAATATATCTTGCAGGGAACTAGTTTTAGGATTGGACTGAACCAAAATTCTTTTCAAGTTTTCATGTAATTTATCCATTTTAATTCATAGGATAAATCATTCACCTGTACGCTCTTCATGCCCTTTGATGATTTTGAAAAGCTTGCCACAGGAGAGCAAGTGCTGAATTTCTTCAAAACTTATTTTCCAGACTCAGTTCCTCTAATAGGAGAGTAAGTTTTAATCTAGCTACTATGAATCAAATCAAATCAAAACAAAACAAGCCCTAATCTAAGAATAAAAGCATCTAAGCATCAGTGAGCTATTGCACATGACAGAGTAAGCTCTAGCAGAGATAGACACGAAAGTCATTGATTCTGTTCTTTGTGCAGTGCTTACCATTGTGCTTTAATTTCCACTTATTACTTTAGTCTTCACTCTAAAAAAAAAGATTCTGAGATGGGTTTTGTATAAATTGTCCTGCAATCCAAGGTGGTTTATAAAAAATTAACTCAGAAAAATAAACACTGTTTGAATGTTAAAAAAGCAAATAAAGATCAAAACAACCACCTACTGCAGTTCAGCTGTCCTCCAACCCCAATTTGTATATTATATTTTATTGAATCTTTGATTTATATTAGGACTTAATTATACATTTATTGTTTTCAATGTTATATCATAATGCAAATCAATAATAAGAATAGTTTAAGACAATGCATATATATATATATTTGTTTTCGTAGATTTTCATGGGTACAGGTATGCAGGTCTTAGTGTATTCGGGTCTTTTCCCGTGTAAGATTGAGAGTATCTTGGCGATGTTTCGACAAGGTCCCACTCATCATCTTCAGGCTGGGGTCTTCGGCTTCGTGCTTTGCTCGCACAAGCACAAAGCTGAA